TACATCGTTAGGTTTCATTCAAAACTTAGACCTGAGATATTTGATAGAGCTTTAAAGTAGAGAAAATATTTTCATTTCAAATCTGTTTGGGGAAGTTTCTACTTTTTTAAACTACTGGCTACAGATTTCTCTTATGTTTTTGAATTCTGTGCATGAAAACATAACAGGGAAAGTAGTTACTTTTACAAAGAGTTATAATACAGAATTTGAATGTTTTACATACAACGTGCTCACACTGAGATTTCCTGAACTTCTAAATCCACGAACGATAAAGCCCTCTTAGTATGAGGTTCTACTGCACTACAAACATTCATTGTGGTCAAGTAATTGATGCTACCAGAATAGAAACTTCAGTCCCTTCACCTGTACACACTTAAAAATGAAAACTAACATATAATCAGTTCCCATCATTGCTCCCTAGTGGATAAAATTGTGGTGAGCACTCCCCTAGCAAATTACCCCTCCCCATATTCTCTCACCATATTTCAATTTCACCACATTTAGCTTTGACATCTGCTTGTGATTCAGGTAGAAGAGGAAGGATCATAGGAAAGGTAATCTGAATGCAGTTCCAAAGTTAGGTAGGCTGGGAAAGCAGTGAGCAGAAAGACAGGGCAAAGAGGATTAATCTACAATCCACACAAAGCATTGCCTTCTTCATGGGGATTGACTACTCTGTCACCATAGCACCAAAAGAGATTGAACTGCTGTCTCTAAGCTACAGAAGCACTGATTATTACTAGGCTGACCCTAGCAGTCATTTAACAGGTTTGAACATGAAATACCATTTCTTCCATTCCCACCGTGTCTCAGATACTACTACTATACTGACCTTGATTTGAGACTTGGGATTTCACTGTCAAAGAATTAGAAATTTCTCAAAGTGGGCCTTCTCTTTAATCTGTTAAGTCACCAGACAATGAAAAGGTAAAAGAACAATTTAAATTAACACAGGGAAAAATTAGTATAGAATGACATCTTCCATACAGAGGGCACTATTTTTTATTCTTGAAAGGGGCTACTTAATATTTTTATTTTATCATCATGGCAGGGCTTCATTTGGATTGCATGCAACACTTCTGAGTGTTAAGATGTGGGAAAAGGTGACTTGAATGTTAAGGGGACTAGAGACTAACCAGTGTGAGAATCAGTTGATGGAAGTGAGAATATTTAACTAGGGAAAAAGGGGGGGGGTAGAGGGAAAGCAGAAGGAGGTAAGATAGCTGCATTTAACTATTTGATAGACTTTGACATGGATGAGGAATTAAACATGTTCTGTTTGACCTGAAGAAGACAGAATAAGGACCAGTAGGTAGAAACTGCCAGTTACAACTAGCAATTTTTGTATTTGGGGAAGGCAAATGCCTGGACACAATATTGATATATATAAAATTAAGAACAACATTTTAAGTAGCTATCACCATACCAAATAATCAAAATCTCCAAGCTACATAAAATGAAATTCTTTAAAAATATAGGGACTGCCAGAAAAAAAATTCAAAACCATGTATAAATAATATGAAGCACACATCATTCCTCTCATCCTTTTACTGGCATTGTCCTGAAGATTCTTTCAGGAAGCCTACAGAAGATGTGATTACATCCCTATATCTTCATTCAATTAAAAAAAACCCACCTGTATAATAATCCACAAAATGTTAAACATAAAATAACAAGATAGCAATTAGCAGCCTGTCCCAGGACTGTTTCTATATGAACCTCACCAAAAAGAAATTATGAATGATATGACAATATTAATAATAATAACAGCTAATATTCATATAGCTAATATTTGCTATGTGCCAGGCACTATGCTAAGTGTTTTATAATTATTATCTCATTTGATCCTCACAACCCTGGGAGATAGCGGCTATTATTATCATCCTCATTCTACAGATGAGGAAACAGACAGAGTTGAAGTGACTTGCCCAGAGTCACACAGCTAGTAAGTGTCTGAGGTCTCATTTGAACTCAGGTCTTACTGACTCCAGTCCCGGTACTCAATTTGCTGCATCAAAATTGGAAGAAAAAAAACCTAAGTAATTAATAATATGTGAATAGTTATATAAATAATAATATACTATGTCACAATTAAAATTACAATTATGTGGAATATATTCATTTATTCACCAAATATTAAGCACTAAGTGTAAGGCATTATGCTAGCAGCTTTAGGGAATACAAAATAAAATACAGTCCTTGACCTCATGGAGTTTACAGTACTCTAATAGGGGCAGCTAGGTGGTACATTGGGCTTGGAATCAAGAAAACCCATCTTCATGAGTTCAAATCACAGCTTACTAGCTGTGTGACCCCGAGCAAGTCACTTAATCCTGTTTGTCTCAGTTTATCTGCAAAGTGAGGTGGAGAAGGAAATGACAAACTGCTCCAGTGTCTTTGTCAAGAAAACTCCCAAATGGGGTCATGAAGAGTCAGATATGACTGAAATAACTAAATAACAACAAACAATAATAGATATGTGGCCATGTTACTTTAAGACACTGTTAAGTAGAAAAAACAGGAAAGGGGGGGAACCTATGGCCTCTAGGCTACAAGTGACCTTCTAGGTCCTTGGGTGTGGCCTTTTGACTGACTCCAAGTTTTACACAACAAATCCTTTTATTAAGGGGATTTGTTCTATGAAGTTTGGATTCAGTCAAAAGACTGCACCTGTCCTAGACTCTAAGTCTAGAACAAGCTGATTACAATTAAGTAAATATTTTACATAAATATACATCCATTTACAAATATTAGGAACAATTTGCAATTTAAATGAGAAATATTAGAACTATTTATAAAGATTAAAAAATAATTTTGACAATTTAGTTTAGTGCTTATAAGATTATTTTTTCTGTAAAATTGCTTGAATTCATAATAAAATAAATTGGGAGGTAAAATGAGGAGGAATTAACTTAGTAATTACATGGAGAGGGATCAGCTATTCCTGTTATAGTTTATATAGCTTTATCTTGCAATTTTCTTTCTTTCTACAGTAATGCTGTATCTTGTTTAGTGCCACCAGAGGTAAGAATCTAGGTAGCAGTTTGTTTTTGACCAGTTCTATAATAACCCATTAGTATTTTGAAAAGTATGAATGTAGCTTGGGGTATGGCACAGACAAAATAGTTAGCAGACATCTTATCCTTTTGTTTTTATAGATTTGACATACCTATGGAACATCCAAGTGGAGATGTTCAACAGGCATTTGGTGACATGGAATTGGAACTTAGGAGAGGACTATGTATGTACATTTGGAAGTCATCTGTATAGAGATAATCATCACACTCATGGGAGTTGTTAAGATCACCAAGAGAGAAAATGTAGAGAGAGAAGGGCAGTTGTCTCAGGACACAGCCCTAGTATACACCTATCCTTAAGGAATGGAAAATGAATGATAACCTTGCAGAAGAGACTAACAAGGAACTGTCACATACGAAGGAGGAGAATGAGGAAGAAGAAATGTCAAGAAAACCCAGAAAGATATTATTATTTTGGAGGAAGATACGGCAAATAGTATCAAATCATTGAAACATCAAGAAGGATGAAAACTAAGAAAGAGTCATTCCATTTATCCATTAAAAATGATAAATTCTTCTACATCAAAAGAATAGTTTGGGTGCCCTCCTGGTTACATGGTGGCCATTATCTTGAGGGAAGACATTGTCTTTTTCTGTAAGGTGACAGTGAATCCCTTTCAACCTGGCTAACTCTAAATAAGATGTTCATCATCATGGTTGTATAGTTCAAAAATCACAGCCCATTCAGGGAGAAAAAGTGGTTGAGTTGAAATCCAGATGTTAGGAGTAAGGTAAAAGAGTATAGATGGTTTTTCCTAGGATCATAGATCAATAGCAGGAAAAAAGCTTAGAGACATCTATTTGAACTGGAATTTATTGTCAGTACCAATATCCCTTTTGCCAATTTTAAATTTTAAATTTGTTTTCACTGAAAAAAGTGGACTTATATATGAGAGAGCTATACTAAAAAATGTCTAATAATCTTGGCCACTAAATTTTATCCCTGTGGGATTTTGTGCCCCACAATTTGGAAAATTGCCTGTTAAGAATTGCCTTGGTCCCCTTTTCCTCACTGATTTGTATTTTTGTCTCAAGAGTTAAAACTCTTTCCTTAAACTGAAAGAACTGAGGGAAAAAAAGTTAAAAACCAATGTTTCTAAATTCACAATGAACAGCAATAAGTACCATTTTGTAAAAGCAGAGGTTTGGCCAAAGCTTTCAGATGTTTGTATAAAGGTCTGCCAATGATGACTTGTTACTGGAGACCTAAAGATATATACATTGAACATTAGGAATTTTGTATGTATTTTACAGATGAGGATAAGAATGATTTCGAACACATTGTGTTGCAGCTGTGTATACAGAAGACCTGAAATATAGATTGGATATTAACAAGACAGGGATGCCAATTAAAAAAAAAAGGATAAATATTTCCCCCTCTAAAAAAAAAGCTACTTGTTATACTTACTTTAGTATGACAGAGTTTACAAGCCTAAACCGCCCAGTTCCTTTTCATTTACATCGTTTTTTACTCTGGAAGCCCTGATAATTTAATAATTTATCACAACTTCTAGGAATTTAATGACCTCAAAATCAGGTTCCCAGAACAGTAAATAATGATGAAATCTGAAGGCAATAAACTGCATTCTGCACCAGAAGCCTGGAAATGGCTGAAACTTTCTTGCTGCTGCTCAGTTTGCATTTTATTGGATGTCTCCTGACATCCTTTGATCTGCTTGAGGACAAGACTAGTTTTACTGTTGTCTTTGTATCTCTAAACTTAGCGCAATACTTGGCATTGCACACTGAATGGAATCCTCAAACTCACTTCCTCCCCTTTGAACTGAGTAAAAGAATATGGGACAATATTTCCCTTGGTCAGACAGTTCTTAACCTGAGATTGACGAACTCAGGTTTAAAAAACAACAAAACATTCTGAAAATACATTTCAAAGTAGTTTCCTTTGTAATCTGATGTATTTTATTTTATGCGCTTAAAAACATTACTCTGAGAAGGGATCCATAGACTTCAGAAAACTGTCACGACACAAAAAAAGATCGAGAATTCTTTCCCAAATGCAACTGATTTCATTAATGTTTTGTGTTTCTTCGTCTTCAGCGACAAGGATTCTTCTGGACACTAAGTTGTCCTCTAAATGACCACTCTGGCTCTCAAATGTGCACCACAGAAAGGGTGACTTGAAGAGCCCCGGGGATAGTTCACATCTTAGCTTCTCCCAGGTACAATCTGAACCTCGATTTCTGAGAGTGGCAATCACAGCACCTTATTCCCCTATTTTGTTCAGGTCTCCCTAGAGTTCAGGAGTCACCTGCCCCAGAAGTGAACAGCTACCCCACCCCTTAATCCCACCACCCTCCTCGCCTTCCATCCCCGTCCCAGGTGAGCACAGAGCAGCCGTTCCTCCCCGGGTCCTCCCAGTCCGCACCACTGCAAACTGCAGAAAGAAGTGAGCACTGGGATGAGGATGCGGGAGCCCAAGGATGGGGGCGGGGAGGAAGGTAGGCGGGCCCAGGCCTGCGCGCGCCGCCGCCGCCGCCGCGTCACCAGCGTGCCGCACGTGTCCGTGTTTACGTCCCTCGTGGAGCCGGACGACGTCAGCAGCAGAATGGTAACATTGTTGCGGTGATGGTGCTGAGGCGGAGAGTTTAGAGAGACGCCTCCGGCTCTAGCTAGGGTGGGAGGGGGCTGGCCTTGGCGATCGAGGCTGACAGAGCGATCCGACCCGACTGATCCTCGGACTGCATTCGCTTACAGCCTTTCTCCCCTGCTTGTGAGGCGTCGGGACGTACGTGGGGGCCTCGGTCCCTCTGACGGGAAAGGAGCAGCGAGAAGCAGAGCGGGGGGCGGCGGCGGCGGCCGGAGAGGAGCGAGTTGCCGCAGCGCTGGCGCTTGTAAACAGATCCCATCACACGTGACCATGTGAACTACCTGCTCGGGCGACGTGTATTGTCTTTCCCGGCGGCCGGAGCCGAGCAACCGCCGCCGCCGCCTCGCGCGCCACAAAGAGCACGGCCGACCCCGGGGCCTCGAGCGCCTGTGCGCGAGACCGAGCGCAAGCGCGAGCCGGTCTCGCTCCTCCAGTCCTCCTCCCGCTCGAAGATGGCTGATGGTGGCCGGTGAGAGGGGCGGCCGGGGCCGGTGAGTTTTTCGGAGCAGGGCGGGGGAGGGGAGAAGGGAGCAGCCGGGGGCTCCGGCTCCGCCGCGCCGAGGGGGAGACCCAGCCATGTCGTTCGCGCTGGAGGAGACGCTGGAGTCGGACTGGGTGGCCGTTCGGCCGCACGTCTTCGAGGAGCGGGAGAAGCACAAGTTCGTCTTCATCGTGGCCTGGAACGAGATCGAGGGCAAGTTTGCCATAACCTGTCACAATCGCACGGCCCAGAGGCAGAGGAGCGGCTCCCGGGAGCCGGCGGCCGCCTTAGGGGCCACCGAGGCCGGGCCCCCGCCGGACAGCCCGGGCCCCCGGAGCGCCGGCAACAGCCCGGTCTCGCGAGGCCGTGGGGAGCCGGCCGCCGGCCGGAGGAGCCCCAGCCTGCGCCGGAGCCCGGCCTGGGCGGAGGGCGGCGCGGCGCGGAGCGCGCACCCGCGGGGGGACGCCTCGCTCCGAGGGCCCGCGGCCAAAGCGGGGGACCCGGCGCGGGCCCAGGCCAGCCCGGGCAGGAAAGCTCCGGGGAAGCGGGAGCCGGTCCCGGCGGAAGCGGCCGGCCCGTCGTCGGTGCGGGTGGTGAGCACGGCCGGCGCGGCCGCTGAAGAGATCGAGGTGCTGGAGCTGGTGAAGGAGGACGAGGCGGCGCCGACGCTCCTGGAGCTGCCCGAGGCGCCCGAGCCGCCCGCCGAGCTGGACTCGCCCCCCGAGGAGTGCAGCTGGGCCGGGCTCTTTTCCTTCCAGGACCTGCGCGCAGTGCACCAGCAGCTGTGCTCCGTGAACTCGCAGCTGGAGCCCTGCCTGCCCCTTTTCCCCGAAGAGCCCTCGGGCATGTGGACCGTGCTGTTTGGGGGAGCCCCGGAGATGTCCGAGCAGGAGGTGGACAGCCTCTGCTACCAGCTCCAGGTCTACCTGGGCCACGCTCTGGACACCTGCGGCTGGAAAATCCTCTCCCAGGTTCTTTTCACCGAGACGGACGACCCGGAGGAGTATTACGAGAGCCTCAGCGAGCTGCGGCAGAAGGGCTACGAGGAGGTGCTGCAGCGGGCCCGGAGGCGCATCCAGGAGGTGAGACCGAGCCCTGGGCGAGAGAGGGGACTTGGGAACCGGCCCGCCCCTCACTTTGTTGCCTAAAGCCTGAAAGATTGGAGTGTTACATATGTGTGTCTAAGGGGGAAGGTGGATCTGAAAGGAAAGTTTAAGAAGTTTTTGTCTGAATACCTATAAATAAGAACTGACGTTTATGTAGGAGTTTACAAAATGCTTCTTATAAATGATCTCATTTTCTTCTCCCAGTGACCCTTTTAGGTGGGTGCTGTTGATACTCCCCCATTTTAGGGATGAGGAAACTGAGGCTTCCAGAGATTTAACGGCTTGCTCAGGGTCAGACACTCAGTGTTTGGGGGTGGGGGGTGGGAGGGGGTGGAGCTTAGAGCCCAGATCTGTCTTCACTGAGCCTTGATACCTTACAGAATTCTGGTCCCAGTGTTGAAGCCACGAAGGTCCTCAATGGCTGGCTTTGGAGTCAGAGGGACTGAGTTTTTGACTTATGGCAAGTCACTTAACTTCTCTGGGCCTCCGTTTCCTTATTGGTAAAATGATATCGAAGTTGCTTTCCACCTCTCAACTCTGTCATCCTAAAGGTTTGCCAATCTATAAAACCTGGTTCTCCTGGCTTTTTGAAGCGACTTCCCTAAGTCATTGGTTTACTTGACAATTTCTGTATAATCGGGATCCTTTAATATGTTGTGTTAAAGTACTGGTCTGGAAGTCAAGGGACTTAGGTTCTAGTCCCACTTCTGACACTTTCTAGCTGTGTAACCTACCTAGTTCAACTCATTTAATCAGTTAATCAGTAGTTAAGCATCTACCTTTGAGGAGGTCCTGTGCCATCCCTAGCAATACAAATGCAAAAAATGAGACACTCCTCTAGGAGGTTACCTCTCTTGAGGAGGGCACAATATGTTCAAGTTTCAGTTAATGATTATGTAAGTACATATACACAAAAAATAAATATGCAGTGGTAAGGAGAGGTTCATTAACTGGAAGAGTTGGTGTCTTAAAGGATCTGGTACTAGGGCTGAGCCATGAAGGGAGCTAGGAGATTCTGTAGGTAGAGCATTCATGGCCTGGGAGGCAGACTTTTTAAAGGCACACAGGTGGGAGATGGGCATTGACCTCCCTTGCCTCAGTGAATCTCATTTAGGCCGTTGTGCTAAAACAATCTCCAAAGAGTTTAGATTGTACCACAGGTGATGGTACAGAGGGCTGGCCTTGGTGGTTGAGGCTGTGACAGATCTATCAGACCCTGTAGAATACAATCTGTATTTCTGACTTTATCCACTAGTAATTTCCTGATATCAGGACTTCTTTCCACCCTTATGACTATAAGGGTGTTCTACAAGGTTGACCACACCACGTATCCATTTTCATTTTTTATCAATTGTGTATTAGTTTAGGTAAACGTCTACATATCATACCAGATAATTTGACTATATGTAAAAGAAGCAATGGATGATATTTAATACATTTATTATGTATTTAAAAGGTTTTACAAACCTCAGGAACTTTAATCTTTTTTAGAGGTTGGTTGGGACTCAAATTTCAACCATTCTCTTTCAGGTTGTTGAGCTCTTCAGTTTTGAAGAGATAATAGGTCACTAAGAAAGGACAGTGTATTCAAATTTAGTGTAGACTTTTTTTAAGTTTGGGAATTTTGGTCTAGATTTTTGAAATATTTTGTGCCATACTAATAGTAAATGTTAGAAATAAATGGGGAGAAAGTCTTAATGAACGTATGTTCTAGACTGTAGGGTATGAAAGTAATTTAACATCTAGCTCTTTTGTGAGCTTACACATCAAATAGAACTTTGAATTAAACGATTTTAAATTATGAATTCATCGTTTCTTCTAATGAAAAGTTAAGGTAAATGCTCAAAAGAATTTGTACCCTTTAAATCTTTGAAGTTTACCCAAATTCATTTTAGCATTAGTACCATACAGCTTGAATAAAAAAATAACACCTTTGAATTTTATTGTGCTTTGCTCTTCCTAGAGATTACTTTATTTGATTATTATAGATATACTACCTAATCTTTATATTAAGTCAGATGAGACTCATCTCTGCATAATGTACTTTTAAAATCTTTGTTAGAGTTAAAAAATCTTTAGAAAATTTTCTCATTCATCTTTGTGTTTACAACATTGCTTAGGTCTGAGTGGAGCAGTTCCACAAAACTGCTTGCATCTACCTCTATTATTATAGGTGAGTCAGAATTATAAGGCACTCTTTTTTTGGTAGCTGAATCCCTTTGGATTGGGTCTAAAACAGACAGGCAATATGCTGAATTTTGTGCTGGATCACAGGCAGGCCCAGTTTGTTTATGGTGAGACTCAATGCCTTCATTTTTTTGTTATCCTCTTGCTATTTGGTCTCTTTCTCTGCCTTTTTTTTTTTGATTAGTGTTGATGTGGTAGTTGTACCTACAAGTTTGGGATGTTGTTTTTTTAATGCCATAGGACTGACATAACTTGTTTTTCCTTTAACTCACATCAATATTTTACCAACTACTTTTTTCCTAATATTTGTCTTAATAATATTTAATTTCTATTTAAATGATGTAGCTTGGCTATATAAGCTGTTAATGTTCCTTAAGACAAATGAGAATGTTAAATTTTTGTAGGAAATAAATTTGGGTCAGAAATGAAGGTTGTCCTACATAGATGGGGACAGTTGAAAAATGTAAGTATGGGTTTACTTTAGTTCTTTGAAGGAAAGGTGAAATCCAAAAATAAAGTCAGTGCATTTTCAGAATGGGATTTGTATGCTGACTCAAATTTTATCTATTTATTTTTCTTTATGAAGATATCTAGTTTTTTATGTTTTGAGATCCTTTCAGGGTTTTTGATGCTGTGTAAAACAAAGTCTAAGTAATAGGAAGTATAAATTTATAAATTTGCTGGACATTAATTATATAAGTAATACTTTTAAAAATTGTTTAATATTTAATGGCAAAACACATAGTTAGCTGTTTCATTATTAGTTTTAACTGAAAATGTTCAACTGCCAGAGAAGTCATGCAGTCTTTCAATTCTTTGAGCCCATAATAGCTTGTTTCAGTGGAACCTTTTATTCTCAATCTTCTATTTGATTCACATTTGATGAATTTACTCTTGGTTTTAAAACCAAGCGTGGTAAATCAAATATTGTCCTTAGATATGTACCAGGTAAACAAAGGTACAAATGTAGTTATTAGCTATGGTTTTCCTTCCTTCCTTCCTTCCTTCCTTCCTTCCTTCCTTCCTTCCTTCCTTCCTTCCTTCCTTCCTTCCTTCCTTCCTTCCCTCCCTCCCTCCCTCCTTCCCTGTTAGGTCATAGGATCACAGATCTAGAACTGGAAAGGAACTTCAGAGGCCATCTTAACCGAACCCCCTCATTTTATAGATGAGGAAACTAAGGTCCAGGAAGGTTAAGTGTGGCCTATGGCCACACCAGGTAGTAATTATCACTGGAAATTTGGACCCAACGTCTTTAGACTCTAGAGCCAGTGCTCTTCCCACTGTACCACTATAATTTTAATCAAGCTTAATTATCCTTGAGGCAGTGTGAGAACTGCTAGAGAGTTGGCTTGGAAACCAGGAGTGACTACCTGGGTTCAAGTTCCACCTCTGCCCTTATTGGCTGGCTGTGTGACACCTGGGAAAATAACAACCTACTTTGTGCTGAAATTCTGAGACTAAATTGCAGAGATAAGCCAGCCTAGATTGGTGGAGTAAGGTTCCTCATTCCTATACCACTAAAATCACAGATCCATTCCCTATTCCTATTCTGAATGAGTAGTAAGAACTCACAATTTTATAGCACTTTTAAGGTTTACAAAGTGCTCTTCTCACACCTTTGAGTTGTATTAGTGTAAGTGTTCTTATCTCCATTTTATAGATAAGGAAACCACAGTTCCCCAAAAGGTGCTATCACTTGTAAAAGGTTACTCAACTACTACAAAGTATCTTAGACTGGGACTAGAACCCGAGTCTGATTCTCAAGTTCAGTGCTATTTCCACTTCAAAGAGTTGTCCCTCATTTAGGTATTTTCTGGTCTTTGTCCTTGCAGTGTTCAATTTTCCCATCCATTTAAGTATTGTTGTTTGGAGACCACACCTATTATTGTTTAAAATGTTCAGTAAAATAGTTGAAGTTTTTAAAATAGAATAGTCTGTACAACTAAATTGTAAACTCAAGACCAGTGGTCTTTCCATTGTTTTGTAACCCTTTTCTCTGTAAGTTTTCTGAATAGGACAAGACAATCCTGTGAGTACTTTGATATTAATAAATTAAGTAGCTATTAAGTTATAAATACTTTAAAATATTTTTTGCACCATTCTAGAAATGGTATGAGCATTTTCTCTTTATGCAGAACTATTCAGTGGAAACTTGAGAATCCTTTTGTAATATGAATAATCACTTCGGAGTCAGGAGACTATGACTTCCACCATTGGTTGTACCGGTAATTAATTTTGTGACCATAACCTCCTCGTGTCCTCATATGTAAGATATGAGGTATTCTGTACCTCAGCAGGTAGCTGCTGCAGTTAACAGAACAGTGAGCCTAGAGCCAGGAAGACCTGAGTTCTAATCCCACCCCATTCGCTTCCTAGCCATATCACTTAATCTTTGTTGGCCTTAGTTTCCTCAAATATAAATAATAACATCTACCTTCCAGAGTTGATCTGAAAGACTAAATGGGACAATATTTGACTTTTTAAAAAAAATTTTTAGGCAGTTGGGCTTAAGTGACTTGCCCAAGGTCACACAGCTAGTAAGTGTCAGGTGTTTGGTCTGAGGCTGGATTTGAAGTCAGGTCCTCCTGACTTTAGGGCCGGTGCTCTATCCACTGCGCCACCTAGATGCCCCAAATGGAAGAATATTTGTTTGCACTTAGTGCAATGTCTGGCACATAGTAGCTGCTTCATAAAATGCTTGTTCCCCTTCCTTCGTCCCCAGTACATTGTTAGCTTCCGGGGGAGGGGGGGAAGGGGAGGCTTTTTGTATCCCCGGTGCCTCAAATGTA